ATAATTAACTTCCCTAACATTTTATTGTTTTTTTTTACTTTTAATGGACACATGTAATATGTTTAAACTTTATGTGAATATGATCAGTTAACTTTATTTCCATACTGTAATGACACTTTATTTTGAAAACTGAACGTTTTCACGTGTGTCCTCGCGCATCAAGTCCGACGGAGTTAGATAAATGTTGTATGTGGTTCTTGTATCGCCTAATATGAAGACTTCACAGCCTCTCTTCAGGTAGGACTCTCATACTGCAACACTTGTCTTTGTAAAGAGATAAATTAGTGAACCTGCCTGTCAGCTCGTACTGGGCCGTTTCAGTGGATTTAGCATAAAGACTTTAATATGTGTGCACTCCAAATGTAGACGCGGCTAGCTTAATCGCCGTCTCTCAAACGAGTATCAGAAACAGGCCGTTTAACGTTGCCTCAACGTGGTTGTCTTGAGTCTGATGACAGAGTGTGCAAACTTACAGCAGCGCCCACAAAACACAATGTTAGAGGTCTGAAACGTTATTATGAGATGTGTAAAACTATTTTCGGTTCATTTTGAGACTATGGTGGCGCAAATTAGACTATGGTGGGCCACCATGGTCTTGTTAATTAATGGGAAACACTGAAATTCAAAACCAAAAAGCAGCACCCTTTAGACCTATTGAAACTAAATCAAAACAATTAAACAGATGTAGCAAAATCAGTTTAAAGCTTAAGCTGGGTCCTATTTTCATGAACAAGTTTAACATCATTTATCTCAAAATAAGTGTTTCAGTTTTCTCAGACAAGCTGAAAAAGCTAGGCAAACCGATCAATGAAAATCACAGCTGCCTCGAGTGCCTTGACTCGACTGGAGGAATCCTCCACCGGTCGCGCCAATCATCAAGCCCAGACAGCAGGAGGAGTCACCGTCGTCTGGTCCAATCCTCAGCAGGCAATGCTACAGAATGATTGTAAGAATACTAACCTAATAATATAAGGTTAGGTGGTTCTCATGTTGCCTATTATGTTGATTTATTAAAAATGTATAAAGCAGTAAATTAAGACACACAAGGCAAACATGAATAATTCTATCTGTAATGATTCTGAGGTCATGTGTTTTCCTGCCATTATAAGGTGGTGAGGCTCTGAACAGCTTGGTGCTACGCAATGAATGTATAGTCATTGTGGTGAGCATCAAAACTAACCAAATGAATTTTCCCAGATGTAATGGTTAGAATTCAACCCCAGTAGACTTATTTAGCAAGTTTAGCTTTTGGGGTGTAGTTTATTGCAAATCTTCTCTAGATTTTCCTACTTATTCACAGATGTGGTAATAACAATGTTCCAAAATTATGTGGAATTGCATATTTCTTTATTGGAAAACATATTTTTCTTGGGAGGACCCCCAATCCCCCGAAACAAAAATACTATCTTAATTTTTTACATTACAGCGGCCTGTGAAAGCATGTCTTAATCCCCATGGACATTATTTGTAAATGTACCTGTTTTGCGCCTGCCTCGACTTCTCCCTGCACTCACAAACACCTTTACCTCTGGTCTCTCACTGCAAACACACCAGCTTTCCATGTTTCTCTGTCTCCCTGTCTGCTCTCCTGAGTTTATCCATCAGCAGTAGGTTAATGTTTTATAAAGTTGCCGAAAAGACACAGAACTTTTTTTTTTTACCACCAGTGATCCATTTTTCACGTCAGCAGTTGCACTGCATGCCATCTTAATTACGTTGCTTATCAATGTCATCGTCCATCCCGGTGTTTCATTGACCTCATACGATGCCAATTTTGTAGACATCACTCAACCCTAATTTGAATACATTGATTTACTCTGGAAATAATTTTGTGACTGCATTTCGCTTTTTTGTTAAGTCACGATAAAGGTCTTAAATTTCATTTATAAAGGTCTTTAAATTTGACCAGGTGAAACTTGCTGAAACCCTGATAATGTTCCATTACCTCGTCTACCTGACTTAACAATTTGCATAGTGTGGGACTTCGTATTTTAAACTATCTTTATTAGCCATCTTTATTTGCTTATGATTCCATAAAACTACACTTAGTTCCCTTTAATATAATTAAAGTAAAAGTACTGCTGATGGAATAAACCTATGCATGGTCACTTTTTCCACAAAATGCAGTAAAGTAAGTAGTAAAAGCAAAATTTATTTAGCTCAAGAGATTCAAGTTATTATCCACACCAAAAAATCTCATTAAGAATCTGAAACTAGAGAATGTTCAACATTATTGCAAAAAAGAATGAAAAGAAATTGATTATCAAAATTGTTGGTTAATTAGCTGATCAAGCAGTTAGTTACAGCTTTATGCAAGATGTGCCTTTGTGTCCTTTGTCCGTTTTGATACTAATAAAGGTAACTTAAATTGTAATAATGGAGTTGTATTTGTATTAAGGACTACTATCTGAAAATGGGTATTTTGTAAATTTTAAGTTGACTAGTAGTAATTTTGATGAGTGAGTTTCCATTAGTATTTGAGTCTAGTACAAATACTTTTTTTTTTTTTTTTAGTAGGTTCCTGTCAGAGTATAAGTTGTGCACAATTTCAGTGAGTAAAGAATTAGTGGAATTTTAATAAGTATCAGTGAATCAATGTAATTTAGTATGCAGATGTTGTGGGGTTTTTGGTAAATGTATTATATTTAAATTAAAGTTTACTCAAATATTATTACCACTACTATAAAAGTTTGAGGTAATCAGTTTCCACAAATCTTCTGAATATTCTGAACTTATTTGGGTTTAAAGTGTAATGTTCTACATACTGCCACCTGCTTTACCAGAGGGGAAGGCTGCAGACGTATTAAATAAACCCAGAGTGTTTAAAAATACTACATAAACCAAGAGAAATTTCCACGACAGTGGCATATAATGGTAAAATATTGCAGAATCCTGGAAAAAACAGGAAGTATATGAATATAAACATGTCATCTGCATAAAGAGAAACTTTAAGCTTAAAGAGACTCTCTGAACCCACCTGGTGAACTCCCTGAATGAATAGTGGAGCCAAATCCAGCTTACATCAGGCAAAAGGTGGGGTACACCCTGCACAGGTCGCCAGTCCATCACAGGGCAGGGTGTATCCAAATATTTTATTTGGATTTATTTCCTAAGCAGACCGGGGACATGGTGCCGTTCAGGATATTGGTGTGGACAAAAGGTGGGTGGTAAAGCATGGTCAGGGAGGGCGTCAGGCTGGCAGTGAACTCCAAGCTGAGATCCGAGAGGCTAGGGCTGACGGGCAGGCAACGTTATGAGGATTGGGTCCAGGGATCACAGACCAAAAGGCAGGTGCAGGTGTCCGGAGGCAGAGAGAAACGAAGTTATAAAGGAGCCAAAAAAGCAAACTAACTCAACAAGCAAGTCAATACGAAAGTCGATGGGTACAAGTTTACACACAGAATGACACAACGATCGGGCGGAGACTGGATGGCTGGAAGGCTGTTTAAGAAGGCTGAGTAGATCGAGCAGGTGAGTGAGTGACCCAGGATCCTTGGACACCGCAGGCTGTGCGAGAAGAGTGGAGAACGTAGACAGACAACACAAAACCAAAACACACCAAGCACCATGCAATCACACCAAAGGTGGGACAAGAGAATCAAAACTCACTCATTCACATACCAAGGGTATGGGGGGGTCAAGGCTTCGGGATTGTGATGGACAGGAACTATTTTTCTTGAGTAAGTCATTCTGCAGAAAAATGGTCCAATTTCTTTGTGGAGGCGTTGTTGGTCATAATGAAATATTGAATATTAAGCTATGAAACACCCTTATTACAACCATAATTGAACCAAGTTTGAGTAAGCCTATATTAGCTGGTCAAATCAGAAGCATGTCATTTATGTCTTATATTCCCTCTGTGCAGCGTTCAAGGTTAAGAGAATAAAGCCCTCTAAGACATTAAAATAATAAAAAAAAAAAACTTTAAAGTTAAGGTTTAACTTCAGTTGAGTGAAGAGTATTTTACAGTTGAGTGCAGCTCCAGTTAAGCTTCCACCAACACTGAACTGCAAAGACTGTATTTTATCAGAAATAAGCCTTTTCTCGTTATTTAGGTCACATGTATTTACCCCTGTAACTGGTAGACTATCACAAATATTATCTCTCAGATATTTAATCAAAAGTTTATCAATGTTCAGAAGTTGATTTCACTTGAATCGGAAGGACTGTTCCTGCGGACATAAAAACCTGACAGATTGTAACTGCAGCAAAGACTTATCAGTGGACTAAAATACTGTTTTGACGTTCACAATTACATTATTGTTTTAATCTCCACTACAGCTGTTGGAGGAGTCATTGTTTTGGGCTTTTGTGATTAGATCCAAGTGCCATTTGTGACATCCAGTGTGCTACAGGAGCACTCACTGCTAATTTTATACACCAAGTTCAGCTTACTCATCACATAAAGTGCTACTCAGCCTGTGGAAAGAGTTGTATGTCTTGCATGGCTCTGGCCGGACCTCTGAGAAAATAACCCTGATGATGTCATAGTGATGTCAACAGGGTTATTTCAGTGTGGGTTGGAAACCAGTTTATAATAAAAGGTTTGTGTTACAAACTAGTGCATGGAGTTTGAAAGATGTGGGAATTTATCAGGAGCAGGGAAAATTCTGTCTCTTGTGAGTTGCCCAACTTAATGGAATTGGAATACATAATTGCTGCAGTATCCCTTTAAGGTAAATGCATTGTAATGATTATGTTTATCCAATATGCATGTAAGGGTATAGGAGGAGCTCAATGTGCCAATAGAAATCATTCATCTAACATTTTTTTAACTTTAAAAACCCTGTTTTTGTAAGCTGTTTGGACAGAAACTTTTGTTGTATCATTTTTAATGAAACCACTTCTTCAGTTCAGTCTGCAGGGTGTGTGTAAAGTCCAGGTGCCTTGTATGGCTCCTGGAGTGTTTCGTGTCTGCCAGTCTCACCCCCATGACAGCAGCACAAAGTGAGGGGTGGAGCAGTGTGGGAGGAGCACAGTACAGAAAAAGTTCTCATTTCCTCCAATATAAAAGTAGGATTAACTACCTTTTTAAACCTTTGTCAATCGTGCTACAAGGGAGTCCTGTTAAGTCTGGAGCTCTGCTACAAAATGTCATTCAGTGACGTGCTGGCCATCCTTGGGGGATTTACAGTTGTTTTCCACCTGTTGAAACTGGTCTGGAGATGTTGGTGTGGATTCAGAGAGTTTGTTTTGTCAGAGCTTTGGCAAGTTGATTTAAGGACATATGGACAATGGGCAGGTAATGTTAAATAAAATGTGCTATATGTTCTCTTATAAGTTGTTTTAAAACAAAATGTTTGCAAAATGTTTGCTAAATGTCAGATTTAAGGTGTTTACATCTGCCTATTGCAAATGAGAACATGCCGTTTTTAAACCGATAGATGATGCAGACTAAGTTAGTGAAGTGGGAATATCTGGATTTTCTTGGAACATTAACTTCAGCACAAACCAGGCTTCCTGTCTTGATTAAGGGACTTGATAAGCTGTTCACATTCCTACTTGATGGGACATTTCCGTCCTATTGCCTGCAAACATCCTCGATCAGACATACCTTAACTTCCCATTTTCTTTTACTAAGATGGTGCAGGTTTATTTTCCACTTAAGACACTTTTTGTGATGGAAAAAAATTGGGTATGCAAACCAAACAGTATGCACAGAAAAAGAAGAAAATCAGCTGGGCCTTTGGTCTTGAGTTTCTGACTGGGATCTTATACAGTCAAGAAAAACCTTTCTCTGGCAAGGAAATGGGAGGTTTCAGGTCTTCCACATTTTCCTCCTCTTCCTCTCACTTTTTGTCTCCCCTGTGCCTCTCTCTGAAGTCTTAACACTCAGAGCTCACCACTGACTATTGGCAACTAACATGTGAGGCTCAGTGTGGCCAAGTGTTGACTTTAGATCAACATTTTGAACGGCAATGTTTTAGCCAGGCAGATGGCTTGAAACGCAGAATTATGTGCACTATTTCTGCAAAATGGAGAACTTAGAACTGCAGAGTGAGTTAAATCCCAAAAATGTGTTTGCATTTTTGAAAAACTAGTAGAAGAGTTCAGTAAATTGTAAAATGTTAGCTTGTGGTCACGGTTTCAAAAGCTGTTAATGCTTTAACACCAGAGAAAATAAAAATACTGACTCCAAGATCCACATTATCTTTTCTAAATCAGACAAGATACTGAAAGGTAGCTACTTATAATGCCTGGTGTATTATTCCATTTTCAATCTGCATTTTAACATAAGAACATGGCAGCTTTGAGATTAGGGTATGGTGGAGCACATTGTCTTGGAAGTATTCTAACTGTCCATGCCTTTTCCTTCATACAGTTGTGACTGGTGCCACATCTGGTATTGGTAAAGCTTATGCCAGCGAGGTGAGTATCCTTCCTTCTACAACAATTACTCCCCATTTTCTGTTCCAAATTTCAAGTTTGAAGCTGGGGACAGTTGATATTTGTTACGCTGTTTTAGATCAAGAGTATCAGATTTCACCAGTGCTGTTTGTCTTGCTGTTGCTTAAGACAGTCACCAGACTTGTTTGTTCTTGTCTCCTTCCAGCTGGCACACAGAGGCCTTGATGTTATTTTGATAAGCAGATCTGATGAAAAGCTTGAAATGGTTGCCAAAGAAATACGTGAGTAAAATGAAAATAAATATGGCGTTCTACTGCTGTTCCGTGTTATAGTAAACTTGTGTCTTTCTTTGTGCAACTCTAGGGCAGAAGTTACCAAAAATATTCTTTGTCTCCTTCAGAGGATCAGTATGGACGAAAGACTCGCACCATCCAAGTGGACTTCACAGACGGCCACAGTATCTACCCTTCTATAGCTGAAGCACTACAGGGATTGGAGATAGGAATTCTGGGTAATGGGACAACCAATTACAGAGCACAGAAAAATCACAAGGAAGTTATTCAGATACTTTATAAATTGAGACATAATGGAGGACAAGTGTTGAAAGCCTCACAGTAAAGAGAATCATGCTTGCAAGCAATTCTTCTAGAAAACACTGACTGAGAGTAAAAGAAAGTAAAAGAGTACAGCAGCTGGTCACTGGACCAATCAGTAAATTGCATGTTTTAAAAAAAGGTGGATTGTGACTCTGTATGGTTAAAGGAATTGTTCAAGGGCAAACAGTCTCCTGGACAGTAGGATAGATAGCGTAGCTTCTTATTTATTGTACAGACATGAGAATGGGATCCGTCCTCTCATTCAGCTGTGTGAAAAAGTGTATTTGCCTAAACTATTTCTTTAGTGGCTGGTCCACCTGCAGCGTCCTATTATGAATATGAAATGTGTTTTCTTACCTGATGAAGGCTAATTCAACAGCCTATGAAGTAAGGCATATTTATCCTACACCATGCCAGACCAAAATTGGGCATTGCCAAATGTATGTGCTTACTCTGACAGGCTGAATAGTTGAAGGAGATAGGAATATACTAATCAAATAAAGACTGACATAAGACAAATTTTTATTAACAAATATCCTTGTGTCTTTGTAACCCATACAGTTAACAATGTAGGAATAGCCTATTCTGATCATTTTGCGTATTTCCTGGAAATACCAGATGCTGAACAGGTAAGTTTTGCTTTTTAAATGTAATTTTCTGAAGACAATACACCAAACGATTAATTTTCTATGACTCAGGCTCTTAGAGGCCAGGTTTGTCTCTGATTTGTAACTGGCATAGGTTTACTTGTGTTTTTTCTTACCAGAAAATCACTGAGATTATCAACTGTAACATGCTGTCTATCCCACAGGTAAGCTATCTATGTATTTACTTTATGACTGCGTATTAATGAGTGATTTTAATGTTCTGGCATCTGCATTAACCTTTTCATTGTATCTGAACAGAGTCTTGTTTTTTTGGTAACGGCTATAGCTTCATAAAAAAAGCTGCTGATGATTTATGTTTTCTTCACTTAGATGACCAGACTGGTTCTTCCAGGCATGGTTGAAAGGTATTGTCACAAACACATAGCGCCCGATTTACTAACATCCTGAATAAAGAGTACTAAATTGCGTGTGCATTCCCGTTATGGGTGATTTACTAAGAATTATTGCGTAAATGACGCAGGAGCAAACATAATGGAGGTGGAAGTATTTAAATGAGGGTTTTGCGTGTTTTAATGGAGAGTTGGGAGGCAAAGCAGCCACAGCGTAAAAACCTTGGTTTGTTTCGTATGTGGAAATCGTATGTACCTGCCCATCCTGGGTAGTTGGTACTTGGGACAGCACACCTGGAAAAACTGCTTTGGGAAACCCCAGCAGAAACAGCTACAGTATGCTGGAATGACCCAGACGCGAGGAAATGCCAGATCGTGCTTCATCCAGCCAGAGGAAACAATCACCGAGCGTCGCTCCGCGATCTCCTGTCCCTGTCCCTGTACACACCCTCTCCGATACCTACAATGGGTTGTGTCGCTATATTACGACCGCGCTGTGAACAGTTGGTGATCGTTCCCTCTGGCTGGATGAATTTTACGCGTGATCCGTGCACTACTGCAGCTGGGGGCTCTCCGCAGCGCCACGCAACTTCCATCTCACGGAGAAAACAAATCAGGTCGAAACGAAATTTGCTTTATTGTCATAAATGTTAAAACAACAGTATTGCCAAAGCTAAAGGAAAATACAAAAAAATTCTATTCATATAGTTCATCGAATAAATAAAATAAAATCATTGTATTTCTATATATTAGATATATAATAATATCTAATATTGTTAAATTCTCTAAGTTTTCTTTCATTAAGGCTGTCTCCTTCTGACAACAATAACAGAAGCCATCTCTGCCCTTGGCGGTTTGCACCTTCCTTTCAAACGTATTGAATACAGATGCTGTTGCACTCACACCGTTAGTACATCAGCCTATGTGCTAACTTGCTGGTGATATCAAGTTTGCACACGTTTTTACTCAGGCACACCTTTAGTAAATCAGGTCCTTAGAAGTTAACAGTGGATTTGAATGAATGATAATTTAGGATTATGTTATGGATGTTTGTCTTCCTTCTCCTTTCTAGAGGGAGAGGGCTGATCATCAATATATCCTCCGAAGTGGGCATCCGTCCACAGCCTTTGTTGTCCCTTTATTCTGCCACTAAGGTACTTTCTGTTCCAAATATTCTGTTATTTACACTCATACATTCAGACACACCCTGACCAGATCACACTAACACATTCACTGATTCATGACATTTACCTGCTGGTCTGCTTGTTTTGTGACCTTGACTTTCTTCTTTATTTCAGATTTTTGTAATATATTTCTCTCAGTGTCTGCATGCTGAGTACAAGTCAAAGGGCATTATTGTTCAGGTAAAGTATGTTACATTGAGCTGAAACTCATCATCTTATAAAGTGAAGTCTTATTTTCTTAAACCAAAATATGATTTCAACTTGTTACCAAAAAAAAAAAGATTTCTCTGGAAGTGAAAATCAATGTCATGAATGAAGAGAGAATAACACACTAGAATTAAGAACAATTGGCCCTTGGTCCTACAAAGTAATTGGAAATAGTTTGAAAGGCTTTTTTTTTAATAGACAAAAGTGGCCTGATAAGATTTATAATAAAAGGATTTTGCCAGGTATTATTTTACCAAAACCTTATTCTCAGCCACATTAGTAGCCCGACAGTTGAGGCAGATACTATTGTCAGTATTTGAGTTTTAAAAATTAAATAACAATATATTGTCCGATATTGTATGTGTGTATGTATACAGAATGTGTGTGTACACTGTAATAGAGACACACTTTCTAAATATATTTTAGATTATTTCTTGTTACTTTTATGCAGATTGATGATTAGCTAATATCAGCTCGACAATTTATAGCTCTAGCTCTAATTTACAGATCTTACACACCAAAACCCTGAGTATAGGTATAATTGGATTTAAAAATACTAGAAATGCCACCCTGGAGACAGGGAGTTAATTCTGTTAAATTACTAAAGATGGTTAAACAGATAAAAATGTGACAATACTTGTGAGGGCACTGAACTTTGATTATTGATTGATTTTACATGACATTCATTTCAATTCAACTCAATTTTATTTATATAGTGCCAAATCAGAACAACAGTTCTCTCATAGCGCTTTTCACAAAAGACCAGGTCTAGACCGCACTCTGATATTATTTACAGAAACCCAACAATTCCCGGAGACAGAGTCAAGAAAAATGTCCTTCCTCCATACATGATTTTTACCAGATCTTATGTTTTGTTGGACACACACAAATACAAGATAATATCAGAAGGTCACATCATGAGACTCAGATCAATCTGAACACCAAAAATGTCTTATTCTTATGTTTGTAACCTTTTTTAAGCTTTTGATGTGGTTTTCAAATAAGAAAAAATAAAACATTCAAGCTACATTTGAGGTTGCTCTGTTTGCGGCCAAAGGTTAATTTGAAGGGTGTTTTTTCATTGGATGAACAAACATGCAGCTTATAGAATGAACCTTTGCCCCTTCTGGTCTCACTGTGTTTTGGATACTGCTGCAATGGACTAAATGTTTGTCAGTCTTTTGCTTAAAATTGAAACTGCTTTTAAAGTCAGTAATATGAATGATGTAAAGGGAAGTCCCACCTGTCCAACCACAATCCCCCACCCCCCAGTGTGTGGCCCCCTTCCTGGTTTCCACCAACATGACAAAGAATGTGACAGTCAACTGCTTTGTGAAGACTGCTTCTGGCTTCGTCCGCGAGGCCTTGAACACTGTGGGTCACTCCAGCTACACCAGCGGCTGCCTGTCCCATGCACTCCAGGTCAGAGGAATAACAGATTGTAACATACAAATTGTCAGCTGTTGTGATATGTTAACGTCCTCTTTCTCTTTCCCCGTCATCCTACAGAACATGGCTCTCACAATACTGCTGCCGGACTGGCTGCGTATGTCAACAGTCCTCATAAGAAAGCTACATAACCTTGCAAAAGTCAGCAAACATGAAAGAAGAGGATGCAGGGAAAAGGATAAGCTCAGTAAAAAGGAGGAGTAGTTATGTCACTGCATCTGCACAGAGTATTCACTAAATGGATGAAGATTACTGACATGTTGACTTTAATAGCTGACTATGGGCATTATACTTAGATTATCTTGACTGTAGGTCCACTTCTCACATGTGTGCAACATCATAGCAAGGTTATGGTAATACATTGCCTACACTATATGTACAGCTAGATTCATGGGATGAAGTATTGTTGGGCCACAATATCAGCAGGGGAGCTGAAGTTTCTATTTATCGTTTCTATTAATATTTCTAATATTGCACTTGACAGATATACAGGCACAATCTGTTTTTATTGCATTTAATTCATTTTTTAAATACATAATTTTTTGTTAAGATTTTAGTGTGTGTGTGTGTGTGTGTGTGTGTGTATTAATTATGTTATTTATTTCTATGGCAAACAGAAGTTTAATGTATTCAGTGCAACACTATAAAACAAAACATGACAAGAATGCAGTAACATTTTATTCTGTATTTTTTTTAAATGTTAAATTAATTTGTGTAACAATGGTACAACACGCTCTCTTTTTAATTTTGACTTGGTATGAATCATTGTTGGTCCTGGTCCTGACTGAGACTGGATTAGGATATAACCTTCAGCATAACCCTTTTTGGTGTATTTTTGAATGTCTGCATCATTAAGCACAAAAATCCAGTATAATTTCAAAGTTAGCAAATACAACAGCAACAAACGTGTTCATCATTCTGAGGTCAGATGTACAAAGTGGTTTCTTTTGTGAAGACTAGAGACACATTTAACAGCAAAAGAAAACGTTTGCACGTTCATGGAAAAAAAAAAAAAAAAAAAACTTTACTCAAATTTAGCTCACAAACAAAAAATGTCTGTGACCAGCCTATATATGTATGGGAAATATGGGAATGTAGGAAAAGGCAAGCAGCACAAATACAGGAGTTTAAAAGTTATTATGCATTAACATAATACCATTAAGAAACTTACTGTGGTCAATTGTTATCGCAAAACACCACTGTCATCCCTGAAATTATATACAGGCTTTTTTTTTTTTTTTATGCAATGTCCTCAACCCGTATTGTTCACAACAAATTGTGTGTGTTCTGAAGAGCCTTTGACACATTTTTATTTCTGTCTTGTGTAAAAAGACAGGCTTAAAGCTAATTGAAACAAGAGGTTATATCAACAGAAATCACACAGACATTAATATTCTCCCATTTCTTGGTTAAACCACCAAGCCAGTTCAAGTATATGAAACTAGGAAAATATCCTATTTGAATACAAAAACCTCAGTTGATGTATTGTCAAAATGCACTCTGTGGTTCTTTTCTAAGCCTCAGTACAACAACAAAAAAGCTGCATTAGATGAAAGTTAAGTAACCTGTGATGTACCTTAGCATCTACGTTTCATTACATGATGTGTTTATTTTACATGTAACCACAGTTTATACTATGCTTGTGTTAAATGAGCAGTCAGATAAGACCTGGCTACATGTACAATATCAAATGTCAAACAGGAACAAAACTCATGAATGCAAATGCTCACAGATCAGTGTATGTGACAGGGGTGACACCGTGAATCAGGAGCGTTGGCCCTAAACTATTGGTCACTGCTTCTAGCTGAGCCAAGTACTGCTGTGATTGGCTGTGATGACCAGGAGGTCGAGGTAAATACAGGAAGCGAACAGCAGCTTGCGAGCTGTGCTCCATCAACATACAGTTTACTGCGGACAAGAAGTCCTCAGACAGAGCTTGTATTGGCTCTGCTGAACGCTCCCCGTCCGGCTCAATGTGGTGCTGCACCACCGAGTCCCACGGCACGATCTTTATCGACGCCCTGATCCTCAGCTTCCTCAGCAACTCTCGGAACGTCTCTTCGTTTACCACCCAGCCCTGGTCACTGGACTCGGTCTCCACATTCAGGAAGATCCTCATTCTTGCATGGCGCCATTTGCTGGACATGTTGAGCACACAGGCCATCTGCAGCAGAAACAGGCTGCACACATCCTCATAATCACGGCTGCCTGGCTGAAGCAGGTTGAGAGGCCACACATCTATAGTCCGGTCGGACCCGTCAACCTTGCTGTCTTTCCCCTCTCCCTCTAACTGGAAGAAATGGCGGGCAAGGCACACGTTCTTGCTCATTTTGATGGCGTCAGAAATTATCCCTACATACTCCTCTGGTGAAAGCCAGCGTGGGCTCTCAACATGTCGGACTGGGGGGAAATGGGCCTGTAATGAAGGCAAGTCAACCCCAAAATTGTATTCACCCTCACTCCCACGTTCCAGCGAAGACTCACAGAACGCAGTATCTTGTAGGAAGAAGTCCTCAGGAGTGCTGCTGTCATAGAAACCCAAAACCAGTGTGTTGGGCTTCATGCCACCTTGTAGGAAGAAACAAAGTGACAAGATAAAGCAACATCATAATGTGTACTGAACGTGGGCATGGCAGGGATAAGACAAATGCTTACCTAGGCCAGTGATGCGCAGCAGATGCTGTGTTCCCTGTCTGACGGAGGGAGACAGCGTCAGGTCTACAAAGGCCTTCACCCCGAGTTTATCAACTAGGCTCAACCAGAAGTTGTACTGCTGCTGGACCGGGTCTGATGGCAGGATGTCTAAAACACAGGAAAGGCAGAAATTAATTTACTGCATAGATTTGCATAATACAAATAAAGGGCTTAATTTCAATATTATATATATTAGATATATTATAATATATCAAATTCTTTGATTGTTAATACAAATGCATCACTGTTTAAGTAGCATTTTATTGGTGTCGAGGTGGAACTGGTTATAACTACTTTATATACAATGAGTTTGGTCCAGTGGTTCCCAACCTACAAACAAATGTAGTGAAGTAAAAGGTACAATTGCTCCCCGTGAAATGTAGTGGAGTAGAAGTACAAGGTAGCCTTAAATGGAAATACTCAAGTTAAGTACAAGTAGCTTAATTTTGTACTTATGTTGAATAAATCGTACTTAGTTACCCTCCACCACTGCAAGTAAATGATCAAATTTCATTGTCTGTAGGTGTTGCAATGTATCCTAATGGTCACCAGGGGGCAGAAATGCAAACTATGTGTTACTGGATTATTGAACCAATATGTCACCGTGTTACTTTCTGTTGCTTTGGGGAGCATCACACAATATATTTTCTTATGGTTTGGAACAATATGTGCCTGTGTAAACAAGGAGCTAGACATCTGGCTGGTTTATACTCTGGTCTGGTCTCACAGTGAACAGAAAACTTAATCTCTTATCAATAATGCAAGAGAAGCAGCAGGTGGAAAGTGAAAGCCCACAAGGTGCTCTCGGACTGAATGATAAAAGTGAGGACATGATGTCACATTGATTGATTACAGCGGTGAAAAGCTTCCAGGCACATCAAAAGGCCAGTCGGTCAATTAACCTGACCAAAATAGAAAGCTAATTCAATGATATTGTAGCAAGTTCACAGAACACACTGACCCTCTTTTTTTATTCCACCCATACATAACTACTATACAAATGAAAATGCAATAACAGTGTGACAATGATTACATTTTATCTGCAGCAGTTGAAGCCATAAACTCAAAAGAGGAGCGGCAACTCAAAAGAGTGTTCAGCTTCAGTGGAGGGGTGAAACCACAGAGGAAATGATTCAAAGATAAGAATAATTTAATACTGTTAGCTGCAGATGGCCATTCCAGACCATCCACAGAGAATTACCCAGATCTCCCAGCTGCACGTGGCCCAACACAAACAGTCCTCCCTTCTTCAGCTGGTTGACAAACAGGATGAGCTGACAGGACGAGCGAGGGTTGGCCACCATTAACAACACCTGCGGCCTCCAGAACTTCACATGGTCTTTCCTCACATCCAGCATCAAAAGATACTTACGCACCTAAACCAAAAGAAGACAGTAATGTTGACAAACTGATGCGCGTATCTGATTTTGTGTGCGCGCGAGTTGCTGCACGAGTCCAGATACCTGATGGAAAATGAGAGCCTGGCTGATGTAGCCCCAGCTGCTGGTGGGCGATCTGTAGTGGAGGAAAAGCAGCAGCAGTAACAGGAGGACGATGCTGCCCGACGAGTACACGGGATTAATGACGAACATCATCACTAAACAGCTCAG